TGACATCTTTCCCTTCCCTGACATCTTTCCCTTCCCTTCCCTTCCCTTCCCTTTCCTTCTCTTTCCTTCCCTTCCCTTCCCTGACATCTTTCCCTTCGCTGACATCTTTCCCTTCCCCGAGGGAAAGGTGCCCCGTGCGAAATAAAGCTGTATCCTGCTGAGAATTCCATCTGTGCCTCGGTGCCTTCCTCCATCCATCCGCTCATTCTCTCCCAACATTTTTACCTATCAGGCACTATGGAAGTAGCTAAGTCCTTCTCTTTCCTTCCCTTCCCTTCCCTGACATCTTTCCCTTCGCTGACATCTTTCCCTTCCCCGAGGGAAAGGTGCCCCGTGCGAAATAAAGCTGTATCCTGCTGAGAATTCCATCTGTGCCTCGGTGCCTTCCTCCATCCATCCGCTCATTCTCTCCCAACATTTTTACCTATCAGGAACTATGGAAGTAGCTAAGTTGGTAGAGTTCTTGCCTGCTCACACAAAGCCCCCAGCAGGTATGTGCATATACATCTGTAATCCCAGTACTTGAGAGGCAGAGGCAGGAAAATCAGAAGTTCAAAGTCATCCTTGGAGATAGTGTAGTAAGTTCAAAGATACATGATTATCATGGGGTATGGGAGAGCTTCTTTAAGGGAGTGAATCTAGATATGCTGACTAGACTCTACTGAATGAATTTGCACCTAGGGACATCTGGTTATAAATGCTTGACCAAGTAGGACTTAACATGTGACAGAATGCATGAAATTTGGTGTGTGTGGGGAGCTATGCAGAACATGGATGGGGAGGGGGCTCTAAATTTGATTAAGATCTATCATATGAAATGCAGAAAAATTCAATAAAAATATTTTTTAAAAGATACATGAGGCTCTGTCAAGAAAAAGTCTGCAAATGCCCCTTCATTCAAGGAACCTAGGGGATAAAGGGAAAGAAGGAGCTCAAGAGAGGTGGGACCATAGGAAAAGGGTATTATTAAGGGAGAAACGGGAAAAATGGGGGCAACTTAAATGGGGAGACCGTGGTGGAAGGGTTAGACAATGTGAGAGATAATGCCTAGCTAGTTTTAGAAAACCAGAAGGAACCATATCAGCCTGACAACCTACTGACAAATTATTCATACAACTAAATCAAGGACTATAATATCTGTCTAGGCAAGGTTTATCTGAGAATGTTTGGTCTTTGCCAAACATTTGGCACGTGGTAATTAAAAGTACCAGACTGGTGGAACTAAGCTTCTTGGATGTTTAACAGCCATACTTTGGGGTCTATACTAATTTGATCAGAGGGGCATAAAGGACAATTTGTGCTCCTTGCCCTCCTAGGTTGATTAAGTTCCAGGGGACTGTAAGCATCTCTCAAAATGTCCTGTAACTGTGGTGACTCACCTGTCCTCTTCATCAAGGAGGCCGTGGAGACCCCACCAGATGGACCTGAACCAGTGTCCAGTCTACAAAGAGGAGGGTCAACAAAGAGGAAATATTTCCTCCATGCTTCTAAGCAAAGCCATCCAGGACATTTGCCTTATCTTCACATAGATGGAACTGGTAAAAGAAAGGAGCCAGGGGTTCCCATGTGACCCCTGAGGAACAGATCCTCAAATGGCCTTAAGAATAAAAATACACTGGTTTATCTGGGCCAACTGTATGGCCTTAAACACCCAAAAGGAAAGTATAACCAAAAATTAAAGAAGCCAATACAATTTTTTTGTCTTTTTGAGACAGGGTCTCCCTATAGCCCCAGCTGTCCTGGAACTCACTATATAGACCAGGTTGGCCTCAAACTCACAAAGATCCACCTGCCTCTGCCTCCCAAGTGCTGGTATTAAAGGCATGCACCACCACGCCCGGCTCAATGTAATTTTTTAAGAGTCCATATGTATAGCTAAAGGCTACATAACAAGCATCAATGCCAGATAGGAGATACCTTCTTTTGAGTTGTTAGCCAGGGTGGCCCAAGGGACTCCCAGATAGTATCTCAGTATAGAACTGGGAAAATTAACAGTAGGGCCCAATCTTATCTAAAGGAATATTGACAACTGATTGCTGCTAGATGAGGAACAGCTGACGTGCCTAAAACAAAGACCTCTAGATAGGCTGACTAGATGCACCGGATGGACAAGTACTGGGGAACAGCTGGGGTGCCAACAACACAGAGGACAGTAGCAGGGATGACAGAGTATATGGGCTCTAGTTGGGGGAAGGGCTATGGGAGGGTGCCATCTGGGAAGTGGGTGTATAGATGAATAACATGGTTTGGGATGATCTGTGTGATATACACACCAAAAAATCAGCAAAATAAAAAAATTGAATTATATTTGAGGAGGAAGCATAAAATTTTATGTCATGTTAATTAGTAGAGGTGATAAACATTACCACTGAAATCTACCTAATGACTTTATAGACATACACAGGTGCCAAGGATCCGAGTGCAACCAATTATGACTAGTAATAATCAGATACATACAGATGAGAGATGCATGTGCCAACATCTCAGTGTTAGCAAAAATAATTAGTCTTTCTGTAAGAAACAATATATTTTAAAATGAAATGGAGCTCTTTTTCAAAGGTTAAAAACTCATTCAATTTTATGTCTTGCAGGGTTTATACTGAGTTCAATATTGTATAACTGTATTAATTCAACTGTGAACCTAAAAATTTACAGCCACTTTTTAAAGAGATGTATCTTTGCTTTGGAAATTGTTATTGTAATGAAATACTTCTAAAAAAATTTTTAAAAATTTAAAATTAAAAAAAGATACATGAGACTGTCAAGAAAAAGTCTGTAAATGCCCTTTCATTCAAGTCAGTCCTAGCCAACCCTCTGCTACCAGAAATGCACTCGTAACATGGTTGCCTGGACAGCCCTTTTTTCTGTTATGAGTTCCAGACTGTCCCAGGCATCTCTATCCAAGTGCCCTATGCAGAAAATCACTCTTCTTCCTTTCCACTCTCACATGAAACACTGAACACTTAGTGATGGCAGATGTCTAAGCAATTCTCCAATGGAGTCCAACTGGATACTCTGTAGTTCAATTTAATTGTCAGTATTTACTGCTTTAGAGTTAGATCTCAAAGGGTAAGGGCTCCCATCTCCTCTTCCTCTTGGTTCTTGTTATCATTATTGTTATTATAGTATATGTGTGTATGTATGATGTGAGTGTGTGTGTGTGTGTGTGCGTGCACGCAAGTGCTGGTGACGTGGAGGTCAGAGGTCAGATGACAACTTTCAGGAGTTGGTTTTCTCCTTCCACCATGGATTCCAAAGATTGTAAGACTTGTGTGGCAAGTGCTTTTACCCACTGAGCCATTTCTCCAGTCCAGTCCTTGTCTCCAGTAGGGATGGGTTCTCAGAGGGAAATGCTTAGAGATACTACCCCTTTGTTACAAAGAGATGTAACAAAGGATACAGATGAACAGCCAGGATAACAGATGCAGAAGAATGGCGGGGGGCAGGGCACGGAGCCCCTGGTCCCTCTTTAAGAGGTACCTCCTTCCAAGTATCAACTCGTGCTCACCTATCTGAAAGCTAATATGGTATTGGCCAAGAGTTTTACCTTCTCAGCAATCAGGAGGGTGGAAACTTCTAACTCTCTACTCACGTAGTCTTTCTGGTGGCTGGGACTATCTTGAGGCCCTGGGGGTGGGGGCACCACCTAAGTCACACCATGAGTATAATCTCAGATACTATCAGAGGCTTAGTAGGAATTGTGAGTAATAAAACACACTCCATACACTCAGAGAATGCTAAGGCTTTTAGGAATTCTATGACATACTCCAGGAACAAAGATCAAATGTAGTTCATGTTATAACCAGGAATGAAGATATTTTAAAGAGACACTCCTCCACCTCCCTTTGACTATCAGACTGCTGGAATAACAGTCTCCAAGCGATGGGAATTTCTTCAGGAGTCTCAGCTGGGAAAAAGAAAAGATTGAAGCCCGTATTACCTAGTGGAAGAATTTATCTCCCAGGCAGATTTCACACAGTTCAGACAACTTGTCAGGTCACCCGGCAGGAGAGAGGAACAGAGAAAATGAAGGGTCAGTGTGGGCGGGACCACATCTTGACCAGAACGGGTCTAGCTACACATTCCTCCTGCCTTCTACTTAAACCTAAACCTCATGTCAAGACCCAGAAGGTGGACTTAGGAGGGTCACTGGACCTCTTTGTTTCTGTTCCCAATGGATTAATAAAATACAATAATACAATATACAAATATATACTATATATTTATATTATATAATATTT